GATGATCCTGGTATTTCTTCAGTAGACAGAGCAAAGATGCGATTCAGATTAAGGACATACTTGATGGAGGGTGTTAATTTCCACAGATTCCCACCCCCAGGAAGACACATAGCAAGTGTAGGGTGTCCATGGCAGCTATGGGAAGACACGGTCACAAGCATTGATGCACATATGCTGTTGTATCCACTCGTGCAACAAGGTACCTACAATCAAAGGGCATTCTCCAGCTTACTTTGTGAGCAGTTCTTCAGTGAAATGACGGGGGATGACAAAACAGGACATCAAGGAACACTGACAGCCAGAGAACTGACACGTCACTTTGGAACTGTCTGTGAGATGCTTGCAACAAGACTGGATCCACATAGGTATATGGCAGTGTTATTTTTGTCAGGCAGTTGGGTGGCCTGGGAACTACCTAGTAGTTCAGAAGCCACCCATGATGCTTCCTCCATTGAGAGTATGTCATGCATTGTTTGACTTTATCATATAATTTCAGAAGTACACTGCAGTAGTAGATAGTTTGTTCTGTAAATATCTCTCCTAGCTTCACTTCATTACATTCAAAACAAAGCAAAAGATAGTACATGTAGCAGTAGTAAGCGTTATAAAAAAGTTGATTATGCATTATTACTACTAATTATATTCAAAATGCCTAATATCCTTTTTCTACAGGAAGTGGGATATGAGAACAAAGAAGTCATCTGTATATCCAGTGGTGACCACTGAGCCCAGACATGACTGTCCCTCGACCGAGATGAACACATGCCTGTCCCTGGACAAGAGGCACATCATTCGAATCACACCGAGGTAAGACTGATAATGTACACAAACCCCAGCTCAAGTACACTCCTTGCAATCCCTCTAAAAACATTAAAGGTACACACTTCAAGAGAGAATCAAGAGATTAGAAACCTGACAGTGTAGGGAAATGCACTGCCCATTCCAATTCCCAGTCTATTTTGAAGGGTCACTTAAACTTGTCCGTACTTGCTTCTTTATACAGGGCTTTGATATGAATTTGTCCATGGTGTCCTGTACTAGTGCCTGATTTTTGTTATTGGTGTAATGTCTGGCCACATGTCCTTTGGAATCCTTGTTGGAAGGGTCTGTGCCGTATAAATTTATTTTTACAATAATGACAAATGGCTAATCTGACAGCATAATGCAACCAGATTTACATTCTATTTGCTACAGGAATCATGCATTTGACCTGATAAGAAGAAGAAAGAGCCAGCGAAAAGCTGGGCACATATCAGGCCCAAATGAGCCATCACGTGGTGCACGTGGGGTTCGGCAGCATCACCGTGTTGATGAGAGCAAAATGCTGCCCTCAACAAGGGCAGGGATTGGACTTTAATCTATTTATGGTGGTTTTAATGTAGTGTTAGAGGTATGAAGTAATACATGGACAATTTTTCTGGACTGTAGAATTCTCTCCCTTGATATGAAAGGCAATTGCAATAAGCAAAGGAAATCATACAATGTGCAATTAAAATATTCATGTAACTATATTTGCAGCAAAAATCTACATTCATGGAGGTGCTTATTGAAGAGAGTACTAGTACTAGTATTTGTCAATTTCAGTACTATGCAGTGCACCTGAAATCACACATATCAGATGAATACTATACTTTTTCAGGTTGTCATATTTACAGATTTAATGAATGGACCATCTCAGCCTTACATCATTGTACTATATTGACTTTATATAGTTATACTTTACATTGTACAAATATTGTATGTTGTAAAGTTTTGAAAGCAAAAAAATGGCACACAGATAATAAGCATATATTACTAAATTTATTCTGATTGTTAACAAAAATACATGTACCATATATTTTTGCTGAATTGTCTACCAATTGAATACCATGTTCTTTCTATTGTTATACATCACTTTACAAAAATGATTATAATCACTATGTACTGCAGTTTCATTCATAGCTATAGATAACCAGATGTATTCTACATCTGTACACATCTATTTTTCCTGAATTGTAACATCATGTTTTTGATCTTGTACATCACCTGAGAAACAGTGATACAGCAATCAAAAGGCACTTAAGTTTACTCTTCAAAAAGGAACAAAGTTGAATTCGGATTCTACAAATCCATAGGGTACAAACCAACCAACAGAAACAGAAATAAAACATGGTGTAAAAGGCACTTACATGTAGTTTTGCTCTTGAAAATATTTACAAAGTTGAATTCAGATTCTACAGATCCATGGGGTACAAACCAACCAACAGAAACAAAACATGGTCTAAGAGGCACTTAGTTTTGCTCTTGAAAATCTTTATAAACAGTCTAGGTAAGGTACAAACCAACCAACATATTTGAAAAACAGAAATAAAGCATGGTCTAAAAGGCATTTAGTTTGCTCTTGAAAAGATGAACAAAGTTGGATACAGAGTCTACAGATCTACAAGGTATAAACCAACCAACATAGTTGAACTTGAGCCCACACCAATTTGATTTGTTGTTTCTCAGATTTTTTCAGTATAAATATGAAGTGGCAGGGCAAAAAAGAAATAAAAACAGACCTGGGCATAATCTGACGGCCCTAGAAGCTATTATAGGATCTATGATGTCAACATACCAGACTGGTTTATAATTCAAACAATGAATTTGAACTTGTTATCAAACCAATGCCTTTTTCTTGCTTAAATGATGAATAAACTGAAACCTATAGGAAGGCAAGGAGCTTTCTTCAACTGTTTGGGCCAAAATATGAGCATTTTGGACTTGATTCTGAATCTTTTTTTTTCCAAATCAAAAAAAATTGAAGCAGGCGAATCAGAGATACAACAAATTAAATTGGTGTGGCATGAAAAACAAAATATGGTCTACATATGGATGGGAGCATGATGCTCAAGTTCTTCTTTTGAATGGAACTTCCTTCCACACTTCTCACACACAAATTTCTTTAATCTTGGATTTTCATGTGTTTTGTGGTGCCGTTTTCAGGACTTCTTTAGATTTGAAGCATTTGCCACAAGTATCACACAAAAAATTCCTTTCAGAGTGCACTGTCGTCACATGCTTCTTTAGATACTGTCTGCACTTAAACTCCTTCTCACAAACTGGGCACTGTTGTGGTGATTCAACAGTGCCTTGGAAATGAACATGCTTGAGGTGCGTGGTCAGACCTCTCCTGTATCTGAACAGTTTATGACAGATTCTACATTGGTGTTCACGGGCTCCGGAATGGGTTGCCTGATGCTCCTGGAGTTTGGCCTTAGATGAGAAAAACTTGTGGCATGTGAGGCACTTATGTCCATCAGGGTCGTGGACTCTTCTGTGAGCATACAAACTTGACTTGTGGAGATATTTTCGCCCACACACTAAACATGCAAATCTCCTCTCCCCTTCGTGACTAGCCACATGATTCTGAAAGTCCCTACCATAAACAAAGCTTAGGTCACACAACGTACATTGAAATGCTGGGGGCTTCCCAGCCCCGTGGCATCGGCGCTTATGTTCTGCTAGTGAACTGCTGTTCGCGTAGCATTTGCCATGTGTACACAGGCTGCACCGTAGTCCTTTGCCTTTGGAAGAGTCCTTTTCTACACTGGGCCTGCCAGGTGGTTCTCCATCTCCAACACTGGACCCGCCAGGTGGTTCTCCAGTCTCCAACACTGGACCCGCCAGGTGGTTCTCCATCTCCAACACTGGGCCTGCCAGG